GGTCCACGACCCGGGGAGTGGGTCGCGTGCGAGTCTGTGGATGAGCTGGGAGTGAAAACTCACTCCCGGCGGGCTGCCGACCTTCCAACTCGGCAATTCTGCGTTTGAGGGCCGCGATTTCTTCAGTGTCGTGCCCGATGGATTTGCCCCGCCTGATCACCTCCCGGAGATCGTGGTTGGCTTGGCTTTTTTCGCCTAAGCGTTGGTGGACAGAGCGGCGAACGACCTGGAGACTTCGCTCCGGCTGGCTCTCCCCTGTCTGTTCGGTAGGAGCCGGTCTGGTGCTTTTGTCACGGCGGTTCTGAGCCTCGCGGTTTGGTGACTGAGCCGTGGTTTTGGATTTTGTTGGGTTCGTTTGCCCCCCGGTCTCCTTCTCGGGAGTGTGGAGCAGGGTATTGTCGGGGTTCTCCGTGGGCACCACGGTGTTTGCCCCGGCGGTTTGACTGGCGAGGGCCTTGGCGAAGACCCCCTCGAGGGCTTTGAGGACATCACGGTGCTGCAAGGCCGCAGCAAAGGTAGGGACTGGTGGAACTGGGACTATGGGTCCCTATTGAGCGCGACGGGAGGTTTCCCCGCCGTTACGGCCACGAGGCTGGGAGCCGGACTGCTGGGTGGAGTCGTCACGACCAGATGAAGGCATTTTGAGAGTTTTTTTTTTTGGAAGTGGAAAGAGTGGGAGAAAGATGAGTGCGAAGTGGAGCTTCACAAGATCGAAAAATTGACACCAAGTAACTTATGGTGCCCTCCTTCTAGCGCCAAACTGTTGACGGACGTTTCCGGTCAACGGTTAAAAAGTTAAGTAATAGAAAGATAATAGAAAAAAGGCAAGGAATTATGGTTTAATCACGATTTTATTAAAAGATCACGAGGTTGGCCTCTCGTACATCTTACACGAGTTTCTTACGAGTCTAGAGAGAGAAAATATAGAAAGAGCTTTTACAGTTGGGATTTCAACCAACCCAAAATAAATGAAGTGGGCTGCTATTTATAGTGGCCTTAAATGTGACACTGTTCAGGCACTATTCACCAGTCTTATCGTACAGTGTTCTTGCAAAGCAGTTCGGCGCCTCCCTGACAGAATTTAATGCGATTTGTGGTTTTCCTCATCATTGCCTGGCAGGCATTTAATGCATACAATGGATCATTTAATGCTGTCAGGCTTTATGTCTTGGCTAGGGGAGGTAGGTCAGCAGGCTAGGATGCCCGTCTAATCACCAATGATTACTCTCCAAGTGGTATTATTGTACTATTATCTAGATCGGCATTCCTCATTGGGGAGACCCGTTCTGAGACCCCAAGTCGGCACCTTATCTCCGTTCGTTCCTCCAGTTCTGGGGAGCCTTCCTCCAGCTCGTCACTCGTCAGATCGGCATCGGGACTTCACTGTTGAAAACGCCGGGCTGACTGACGGACTCATGGGGACGTTACGGTTAAAAAGTTTTCCGGTCCAGCTCAGCATTTTCTCGCTGGTCCGGGTCACCGATTCGCCTCTCGAACTCGGGTGTCAACAAGTCATTTAAGCATTTAATTACAACTTGGCAAATAAATATTATTTAGACAATTAGACATTTAATTGCAAATTGACAAATAAATGATTTTATACATTTAATAATATTTAGCATTCAACAATTGATAATAACAACAAATAAAAATGAATAATAATAATAATAAATAATTCTCAAAAAATTCCATAATCCAATGGGGCATTACAGAACAAATAAATTATTTGTCAGTGCAAACTATGGAAGCATTTAACCTTTGAAAAATTAAATTCACAAGAGAACAAAATGAAGGATTAAAGGCATACATACATAAAATAACCATAATAAAAAATATATAAAATAAAAGTTTCGTTAAATATACGTAATGAAAATAAAAATTATACAAGGTATCAAAATAAATGAGTAAAATAATAAAGCATGAAAGTGACATGAGATACAAAGTCGTGTTAGAAAGAAAAAAGAAAGGAAGCGTGAAGAGAGTCACATAAGTCCAGCAAAATCTCACCAATATTGATGAGATTTCTGTTGGGACTTTATCTTTGTAATTTTGTTAGAAAAGTCTCTAAAAATCTCACAATTTAAAAAATATTACAAAGTCTTCATATTTTGAATACATGGTAACTTATAGAGACTCTAAAAATGTTTTAATTGAATACTCTGAGACTTTTAAGGACTTTTTAAAAGTCTCAATTGAATACATGTAAATTTTTCAGAAGTCTCTAAAAGTTCTGATTGAATGCACAAAAATTTTAAAAATCTTAAAAAGTCTCTAAAAGTTGAAATTGAATACACCCCTAAAATAGGATAACTCTTAAGTGATAATATAGAAAAGTGAACAAAAGATAACCGAACCTTTGTTTGATATTTGTTGCTATTATGCAGATCAGAGGATAAACTGTTGTGTATTTTCGTCTACTTACTTTGTTTATGCTAAAGCTCCATACTTTGGTTTCAATTTAGGTTTGACGAAACCATCATTTTAGTCCTAATTTGGGTTGTGTTCAACTAAATTAGTAGTTTCTATGTGTGTATATGTATACGAAAAAAGGCCAGATATGTGAACACAAAAGGCCAAATATAAGGATAAAAAGTCAATCAACCATTTAAACTATCAGACCAAAGAGAGCACTACCTTTAGCACCACAGTTTCCTCAAAACACAAAAATCCGCAATCTCCCATCCCTTTTGGTCTCTCTTAACCCTTTTCTAACATGATGTGTCAAGTTTTTGCCGGCGGTTCAAGTGAGCCTAGTTGAGCTTGCTAGGAAAAATTCTTGCCGTACAATTTCAGCAAGTTAATTAAGGTGGATCCAACGACATTTGGGCAAACTATCTGAGATGCAATCTATTATCTACAATTTTGAAAGATATTGTTCTATATATTCCCACGAACCTAAATTTAAATTTTTTATTTCTTACGATTTTGACTTTTACATAACTAGATAGTACTGCACAATCACTAAAAAAAATGTTATATTCCAACGGAAAATCGTACAATAATATATTGCAATGGTATAAATTCTAACGAAAATATTTCGTTAAAATGTGTTTTCTATTGGAATTTTAGATGAAATTTAATATGTAATAATATTTTATATTATTCTATTATTGTGGACCATATAATTAGTTGGACCTAATTGAATTAATAGTCAAACTTATTTAAGGTGAATATGTATTTAATGGATTATTAATGTTCTAATATTAAAGAGTCCAATTTGTGATGTTTGACTTGGACATTAAGTTAGGTTAGAACATGGGGAATGTTAGTAGGAATAGGTTTGTAGAACTCCTCCTATATATACTACATGCCCCTCTCTCCCATCTCATACGCAAATAAAGTTCTCAACATCAAGGGCTTTATGAAAAGACGAGAGAAGCGGGAGAGAGAAACAATTCAGAGAGAAACAATTCATAGGCAAAGGGGAATCCATCATTAAAGATTATGAGAAAGATAGATCCATGACATTACGAGGACGAAGAGATCGCAGATCAACATCATAGATCAAGAAAACAGGGAAGGATTATAAGCTGGATTCTTGTAAGTTTTATGTGCAATTTAATTTATGCAAAGATCCATATTCTATGAATTGATAGAATTACATGCGTAGGGTTTATTCAATTCCGCTTAATAGTTATGAGTATGCCCGTTAATTTTCTTACATATAGTATCAGAGCATGTGTTTGTGCATAATTATATTGCCACATAAAGTGATTAAAATTGTGTTAGCCGCTTGCAATTTATTTTCTGCGACTCCATCGTGAATTGATTCGATCGTAATCGTTTCTTATTGTATTGTTGCTTTGGTAATAGCGTACGTATATTACAGTTTGTATCTATATTGATGCTATTATGCCCTTGAACGGTTCATTAATTCGAATGAATTATTTGAATGAATTAAAGTGATCATGACTCAGTTTGCTTATTTGCTTTGCAAATTCATGTGTGTTGGACTTTTAATTTATTCTAGTAGTGAGCATGATCGATATCAAATATATGCATGTGTTGGGAATTATATTTGCTTACATAAAATTGTTGGCGCAAATATGGTTGAGATTTATATGCCTCCTGTTTCATCACGGATTATTTTCTCGGAGCATAACGATTGTTAAAAATAGTAAAAATATTGAATTGCTGCTTCGTTTTAGTTATGCTGTGAAGCCTGATTGTTTAGTTACTGAATTCCTTTCAGTAAACTGTTATATGCGGCATAAATGATATTATGATAAATCATATTCAATTGTTTGAGGCCTGATTGTTTTGCTTCTAAATTGTTGAGGTTAATGATAGTTTATATATACTAACCTCATAATAAAATATTAATAATAAAATATTTTCTAATTATATTATCTATGTAAAGAAACTAGTTAGTCACCAAAGTGACCTAGTTTAATTTATGGAATAGATAATTAAATTAGATGAAATATCCTTAAAATAAAATATTATCTACTTATATTATCTATGTAAGAAACTAGTTAGTCACCAAAGTGGCCTAGTTTAATTTATGGGATAGATAATTAAATTAGATAAAAGTATCAATTATTCAAATATAAGACGATGTCTTATTAATGTACTCTAATATTATAATATTTGAATAATTGATGTTATAGATTATAAACTAGGAGGACACCCAAAGGTGGGCCATGGTTTGTAATATATGACAATAAAAGAGAAATTATATTAAAGTTAGGTTAATTAGTGTGTTTGTCCAAAGATAACCACTAATTAATCACAATACCTATAATTTCTATTAAAGATCTTTCCTCTTAGGCATCAATCAAGTATATTATATATTTAAGTATTTGCCCAAAGGTATATTTAAATATATAATTTAAAAGATTTATGAATCCATTAATTATCTCTCAAAGCTTAACTAAATAGCATGTATTAAAGTTTGCAGCGTTAAAAAATTTGGTTATCCGTACAGTATTATAGTTGAAAAATTCAATTGGCTGAAATTCAATGAATGGTCTAACCATATCCAATTTCAGTTAGGTTCAATGAATTTGGATATGACTCTAGTTATTGAGGTTCCCACAACCATTACTGATGAGAGCTCCGAAGTAGAGGTAAACTCTACATAGGGTATGCGTGCGATCAAATAGGTTGTGTTTGAATTTTATGAAATTAATCATGATGGATAACATTAGCTGACAATGCAAAAGAATTCCTAAATTAAAAATCAAGGAGTTATCTCCATAAAAAATTTGCCGGAGAAGTCTATTGTGGAAAGTTTATGAGCGAGCTCACCACTATAAAAGTTCGACCGATTCCGCTCCATCTATAATCTCGTGACCAAACATGTTCAACATATAAGCTAAACTTACAAACATGAGATGAATGTGATAGACTCATATATGGTTATATTCATCATGAACTCCCTACCTGTCGAATTTGGTCAATCCTAGGTGAACTATAACACCATTAAAGATAAATTGGACTGTAAGGAAATTAAGGCTATGCTGGTGCAGGAAGAGGCGTGAATAAATGAGATGAAAGAAGAGTCGATTCACTTATATCTCATGTGTGGGCAAATAAAAGGAGATTGGCTTACTTGAAGTTTTAAAGGTCCAATCATTAAGGAAATGAGGTATTATTTCTGCAAAAAGTTAGGCCACCTCATGAGAGATTGTCCGAAATAAAATCTTGATTCGAAAAGAAAAACATATATTAAATTTTTGTATGTTGTGAATCAAATTTATTAAAGATTCCCAATAATACTTGGTGGCTTGATTCTGTGCAACTACTTATGTATCTCATATTTATTTTGAGGTTAAACGTAGTGCACATAATTAAAATTCTACTCTCTTATGGCATTAAAGATTATGGTCACATATCCGAAGAAAAGTTTTGAGAATGGTGAATAATGAAACTATTTCACATTTGGATTTTAGTGATCAAGATGTATGCGTAGAATGAATTAAAGAAAAGCAAACTAGACATACATTAAAGAGATCTGCCATGAGAAGCACTAAAATTTTATAACTTATTCACACTAATTTTTGTGGTCTATTCAACGTCCCTTTGTGGGGTGATGTAAAGTATTTAATCACCATTATAAATGATTTCTCACGTTATGGTTATATTTATCTACTACATGAAATGACTCAATCATTGGACTATCCAAAAATATACAATGATGAGATGGAAAGGTAGTTAGATAAATAAGTAAAAGTTGTGAGATTTCCTTAGATTGGTGAATATTATTGTGGGTTAATAACTTTTTCCCATCCAAACTATCACGATTTTCCCGCATCACCCTATAAACTTTTTTTTATGACAAACCACCACATGAACTATATGGGTTTGTCAAATTGCCCCCTAAACCGGATATAAAAGCAGTTTTAACTAAAAAAAGCTGATTTATGAGGGCGTTTTCGTAATTTCATATATTTTTCAAAAAAAAAAAAGAAAAATGAAAAAATGAAGAAACCGAACACAGCTTAGAAGCGGCTGACACCTACAATGGCAGTCAGACTCCACGATAAAGAAATAAAAATGAAAAAAATGCAAAAAAATGCCGTGGGCGACCGCATAGGTGGCGGCGGGCTCCGACGAGGAAGTCAAAGCAGAGCAGAAAGGAGTCACCGACAAGGGAGTCACCGGCAGCCTTGAGGAGCGGCAAGAACGTGGCACGGAAGGCGAGTGCGCTGCCGCCGTCGCCGCCTAAGGAGGAGTCAAACTCTTTCCGGTGGAAGTTGCGGTGGCAGCTGCAGGCCACGCAGTGGAAGTACTCGAGCGTGTCGCCATCTCCGGCGAGAAAGAACTCACCGCATATTCCCCCCAGATTCACCTCTCAACCCTCCCAGATTCCCCCCATCACCGTTTTCACCGAGTCCACTCTTAACAGATCAAAGCACAAAATCTCCTTTCTACTTTGAGCTAAACAAGGAACGAGTTGGTTCAGGTTTTCCAGAAATACTTGAGAGAAGTTAGTCAAGCGAGAGCCAAAATGGGGAAAGACGAGGAGGAAATGAGGGGGGAAATTGAGGAGCGCTTGATAAACGAGAAGTACAAGATTTGGGAAAGAACACCCCTTTCCTCTACGATCTGGTCATAACCCACACGCTCGAGTGGCTGTCGCTGACCGTCGAGTGGCTGCCCGACCGAGAGGAGCCGCTGGGCAAGGACTATTCGGTCTAGAAGATGATTTTGGGGACGCACACATTGGAAAATGAGCCCATTTATCTGATGTCGGCGCAGGCGCAGTTGCCGCTCGAGAATGCCGAGAATGATGCCCGTCAGTATGACGATGAGCGATCCGAGTTCGGTTGTTTTGGGTGCGCGAATGGGAAGGAAATGAGCTTCAACTTCTTTTCTTCCTTTTTTTTATATGTTTTTTGTGAGGAAAAAACAGCTGTTTGGTATAGTTCAGGTTATGGAAATTGGTCATGGTCGGGTTGGGGGAAAAATCGGTTCTTTACTATTTGTTTAAGGAATTGGAAAAGTCTTCTGAATTTTACTTTGGGTTTTGGCACCTCGGTAGTGACGGCAATGGAGCTTATCCGGAGCCACCTACTTTGTTTTAGCTTGAGTAAGTTCAGGTTTTACGCTTCGGTTTTTTTCATTTTATTTTTCTGTTTGAAAAACTATGTGAAATTACTGAAACGTCCTCCTAATCAGCTATTTCCAGTCAAAACCATTTTTGTATACAGTTTAGGGGGCAATTTGACAAACTCGTGTAGTTCAGGTGGTGGTTTGTAAAAAAAAAAGTTTATAGGGTGATGCGCAAAAATCGTGATAGTTCGGATGGGAAAAAGTTATTAACCCTATTATTGTAAGTTCAATGAAAGAGGATAATATCTAGTCCATTTGCAAAGTTTCTTGAGATTTGAAATATTTGTGTGCAATACACTATAATTGAGTAATTCAACATTAACGTTTTCTATGTGGATGCATGTATTAAAGATTACTGCATATTGGATAAACAGAGTTCCTAGTAAGGCAGTTCCTAAGACACCTTATGAACTGTGGACGGGTAGAAAACCTAGTTTGAGGCACCTTCATATTTGGGGTGTCAAGCAGAAATAAAAGTATATAATCCACATGAAAAGAAACTTATTCGTAGGACAATCAGTGGTTATTCATTGGCTATCCGAAATGTTCTAAAGGATATATGTTTTACAGGACTAACCATAGTACGAGAATAGTTGATTCCAGCAATGCTCGATTCATTAAAAATGTTCAAATCAGTGGGAGTTTGAAACTGCAAAGTTTGGATGTTAAAAAAAAACTCAGGTTGAACAGTCCAGACCCGAGTGTCCATCAATGGTCGTTATTCTTTTAGTTACAGTATCGTCATGTAACTTAGATGAATAACAAAATGTTCCAAACTCACTTGATAATGAATCATCACAAGCAATCAAGAAATTATAGAACAACCTATGGTTGATGAATCACAAGCCATGAAAAGTGTAAATTCTGAAAAGTTGATCAATGCCATGACAATAAAGTTTGGGATTAAGTAGAATTACCTGAAAAGTGTAAAAGAGTTGGGTGTAAATGGGTTTTTCGAAACCAAACACGACTCTAAAGGTAATATCGAAAGATATAAAGTTAGACTTGTTTCTAAAGGTTACACCCAAAGGGAAGGCATTGACTACAAGGAAACACTCTCTCCCGTTTCGAGAAAGATTCCTTGGGAATTGTAATGGTAATGGTGGCTCTGTATGATTTTGAGCTTTACCAAATGGACATAAAGATCACCTTCTAAATGATAAACTTAAAAAGAGATCTACATGAACTAATTAAAAGTTTTTTAGATCACAAGAAATGAAACATTAGTGTGTAAGTTGAATAGATCGATATATGGACTAAAATAAGTCTCTCGTCAATGGTATCTTAAGTTTAATGATACCATCACTGTTTGTAGTTTTGTAGAGAATATCGTAGATCGGTGTATCTACATTAAGGTCAGTGGGAGTAGATCTGTTATTTTAGTTTCGTATGTCGATGACATATTTATAGTTGCTAATGTGGACATGTTGCACGAAGTAAAGTATTATCTCTCTAAAAAATTATGAAATAAAGGATGTGGATGAAACGTCCTTGCTAATTGGAATAGAAATATTCTGTAATAGATCACAAGGACTAAAAGTTTATCCCATAAAAGTTTTATTTGAGAGATAATGGATGGTTGTTCCGTATAATTCCAATTCATAAAAAGGACACATTTAGTCTAAAATAAATGTTCTAAAGGTGAAATGGAATGAAAAGTGATGGAAGAAATTCCTTAGATATAAATGATTAGGAGTCTTAAGCGAGACGAACCTGTACTGGGTTTGATAACATATTCGTTGTTGGTACGTTAAACAAATATATAAAAGTTATCCCTAAATGATTATTTAAATGCTGCAAAGAAATTTTTAAAGTACTTATAAGGCATTAAAGAACACATGCTAACTTGAAGAAGATCCAAATTATTGGTTATAATTGGATACTCAGATTCAGACTTTTGCTCATAATGTCTAAAGGAGCAAAATTATGGAAAGGTGGAACAAAAAGTCCATCATCGCGACTTCCACTGTGTAGGGTTGAGTTTGTGGTATGCTTTGAGGCCACAAGTCAAATTTAGGGCTACGGTGCTTTATCTTAGGACTTGAAAATGTCGACATCTTGTCCAAGCCGCTAAGAATTATCGCAGTATCGTAGCAATAATATTTCAAGGAATGACAAGTATTCAAAGGGTGTGAATCACATAAAATTAAATAGTTGGTCATAAAAATAGAAGTGAAGAACTAAAGTATCATTTGAGCATTCTAGTACTACTTGCATGAAAGTGGATCCATTAAAGGGTTATTCCCTGTAGCCATTGCAAGGCATATAAAGAAAATTGGGAATAGGGAATAGGGCCTTGTTGGACTGACCGATACTGAATGAAATTGCTCAATTATTGATTTTGGCACTTATTGAATTCAATTAAAGATGTTTGATTCTTCACACTTAATACCATCATTATGGATATTTGATTTTATAGTATATACATAAAAGTTGGATGGCTTATGGTTATGGTACGAATAGTTTGTTCCATATTAAAGTAAAGTTGAATTAGAAATGATTTGTGGTACATGGAAGGGATCATGTCGCTCGAAGACTTGTGACCGCCATGACTCGGTTAATTTCTATTTTAATTTTAAATTTATAGATATATGTATTCAATTATAAGTTTGATGAAAAGTGCGCGCTTAAAGTAGTTCTTCGAGTTTCGACACTATATGGTCCAAGTGGGAGAATGTAATAATATTTTATATTATTCTATTATTGTGGACCATATAATTAGTTGGACCTAATTGAATTAATAGTCAAACTTATTTAAGGTGAATATGTATTTAATGGATTATTAATGTTCTAATATTAAAGAGTCCAATTTGTGATGTTTGACTTGGACATTAAGTTAGGTTAGAACATGGGGAATGTTAGTAGGAATAGGTTTGTAGGACTCCTCCTATATATACTACATGTCCCTCTCTCCCATCTCATATGCAAATAAAGTTCTCAACATCAAGGGCTTTATGAAAAGACGAGAGAAGCGGGAGAGAGAAACAATTCATAGGCAAAGGGGAATCCATCATTGAAGATTATGAGAAAGATAGATCCATGACATTAGGAGGACGAAGAGATCACAGATCAACATCATAGATCAAGAAAACAGGGAAGGACTATAAGCTGGATTCTTTTAAGTTCTATGTGCAATTTAATTTATGCAAAGATCCATATTCTATGAATTGATAGAATTACATGCGTAGGGTTTATTCAATTCCGCTTAATAGTTATGAGTATGCTCGTTAATTTTCTTACATAATATTCCAACGACTATTTTTCCAACAGTTTTTTTTTCCGTAAAAATTTTTGTTAAAATATACAATTTCCGTTGGAATTTTTATTTCCATGCCCGTTGAAAAATCTACAGTTGGAATCATCAAAATTCAACACAAATTTTAATGAAAAACTCATTCTAATGGTATTTTTTTGTTGGAATTTCCATTGGAATCAATTGAAAAATTTCAATGGAAATAATAGCATTGAAATATTAATTGGAATTTCCTTTGGAATTTTATTGGAATATATATTTGCGTTGAAATTTTCCATTAGAATTTCATCATTTTTTTTATTGTAGTGAGTCGGAGCTCTATCTGGTTTTATAGAAAATTTTAAATTTAACTGAAGTATTTAATTTTAGATTCTTATTCCTCCTTTTTCTCTCTCTTTGACATTTTCTCTCTCCTCCTTTCCCCAATTTCTTCTGATCGTGCCCCAGCCGCGTCTCTACATCGGTGTGCCTCCCCTCCAGCAGCCCTAGTCCTTTGATTCCGGCAAACTTTCGGCTCACCCTAGGCTCGATGGAGCTGTAACGGTGGTCCTGTTTCTTATTCGTCCCCGTAGTGGTCTCCGCTCGAGTATGAGCGCCAAAGCTGGCGAGGAAAGGCGAACTTCGTCGGAGGCCGTGTTCCAGCGGTGGCTGCGGGCAACCTTGCGGTAGTCTGTGGTGATGGCCTTGCCTTGGTTTCCCTCTATTCTGGTCGTCCCTGGTGTTGAGACGGTGCGGTCCTCCAGGGCGGCGACGTGGTTGCGTGGCGGCTCCAGTGTCTGCGTGGGGGGACTGTGGTGTGGGTCGGCCTGGATGGGTTTTCAAAGATCTGGGGGCTGTCGGTTATGCTGTCCGGTTTGCTTCCTCTCGATTTTCGGAGTTGGATGTTCGCTTGGTTTGGTTGGTGATGGGTCTTGTAACGCCCCACTTTGATTTAAGGGAATAATCCGCGGCTTATCCAAAAAACAGTGTAAAATTTTTGAAATTCATTTTTCGATTTAAAACATTTACGGCGTTACTCATTCATTTCAAAACATAGATCAAGTCATCTCTGAACTCACAGGGATTCATTACTCGTTTTTCACAAGGATTTCATTATCCAATCGCAAATACAATCATCACAACATAGACATGTCAACGTAAAACCAATTCATCAGTTTTCATAAACTTTAAACTAGCTCATAGAGTTCAAATAAATTCGCCATACCCAAAACAATAATGCACAATTTTCAAATCATCATAGTCTGAAAATAAAACAAGTTCAACGTAAATAAATGCGGAAGCAAATATAATCATAAATGCAGACCGGCCACTCGTCTTCTAGTCGCCATGCCCACTACCTGCTTAACCTAAAATGTTCGTTACATTGGAGTGAGCACAATCCACTTGCTCACTACTATGCAAATAAACAGAATATATATGACATATAGGTATGGTCGCAGCAATGAACATGAATCAATCAAATATCACATCTCCTAATCACATCTTACTCCTGTGTACACATCTTTCATTAGTCACGGAAGGGTACTCATTACCTAACGGTGGGAGTACATGTCGAGGGGCCTCAACATACCAACGACATGGCCTTTCATTAGGTCTTAGGGAGATTACCTTTCATTAGGCACCGTACTACATCGACGGGGACAACCGTGTCGACGGCCGTAACAGTTCACATCGACAGGCTACATGGTTCACACACATACATTGATCACACCGTCCAGC